TACATTTCGATATTAATTGGTGTCTTGGGGTATGCCAATTTGCAAGTTCCTATGTGTTTGGCGTGTGTTTTCTTTCTCTCGGGTACACATCTCTCTAGGAACATAGTTGCACTTGACATTCTTTCGTGTTTCTCTCTATTGTTTGGTGTTATATAGGGGGGGGGGGTGCATTTTATTTGGCGTGTGTTTTTTTCTTTTGTTCTTTTTGCAGGATCTTACAATCATTTATCCAAATTTGAAGGTTCATCTTGGCTTATGCTGCATAGTCAGCTTACTTAGAGAATCTCCTTGGAGGCAGTCCCATAATATTTTTCTAGACTTTGGACACATCTTGGTGCATGAAATTTTTTGGGAAATCAATTAGAGCTCGTTCCATTCAATACTTCAATACTTTTGTAGCCACTTACCCATGTTGCTTTCCCAAAGGCGCAATATGCATCTCAAAGCTGTAACTGTAGATCCATTGATATTGTTGATAAAGGTTTCTCCCATGTGAAGACATAGCCATTATGATTTGGAGGCTCTTGATCCATGGTCTGAAGCACTACATTTTGTTCGTACTGCCCCTGTTGGTGTTGCCTCTTTAAAGGTTGAAGCTACTTCAAACATGGTTGTTGTCACTTGGATGTTGTCGCCCCTTGCCTCGTTTCATGGCTAAGACTCTTGGTGTCTACAACTATGACATTTTTGTCCTTGGTGCTTACAAGCTTAGTCATTAGTTTGGTTTCCATTACAAATCTCTAGTTATCATTAATTTTGTCTAGTTTATTTACACATTCAAGTTTCTTTCTGGTTTCATTTTTCTTTGTGTACTGTTTTTGCCGAGCCCCTACTGGCTTTCTTTAATATATTTCTTTTTGATGTTAAATAAAAGTGTTAACTATGGGGTTATGTATGTATGATGAAAGATAGAACCAAACGAATGAAATATGAGTTTCGTATGATATTAACAATTTTTTTTTGACAGACTTAGCATAACAACATTTAATAAGTGTTAACTTAAAAGATCATGAAATTAACTAGATTGTTGTATTAAGTCGATTATATTAATATTAAATATTGAATTTCAATCATAATGTTTGCAAAAAAAAATGAAATAAATATGTATGAATGTGGTGGTAAATCCGTAAATATAATATTGTTTGTTATGGGAAAATAATGGTTTAATGATTTTTGTTGATTCCATGTTTTTTTTGAATTTTGTAAATTCTTGGTTGGAACTCATGTCAATTCAAATTAAAATCAATACTTTTCAAGCTTCCTTTCTTTACCTTTTCCCCAAAAAAGAAAAAACATAAAAGATTAGCACATACTTCTCACATTCAAATTATTTTAATAAAAAACGAGTTTGGAATCTTGTCGTGCCTTCTTTATTCTATTATTTTGGCTTTACGAATATTGTTTTTAATTGTATTATCTAACCAAATAATTTACATAATTCGCAGATCATGAAATTATTTGAATACTATAAAAGTGAAAACACTTTACAATTATTACACCCAAGATTATAGAGCAAACATGATCCCTGATCCCTTGTAACATGTATTCCAAATAATTTATATGTTCAAAATTCATGTCTTAGAATGCTACTAGATTTGATAATATAAATATTTTTAACCTTTTATTAATTTTGATTAGCAAATTGTGTATTTCAAAACTCTATACTTTCCAGTCTTGCTTTAACATTTAAAATAGAATAAATTTGATATGGTAATAATTTTTTTTTAACGGCCAATATATTAAAATAACCACCTATAGCAAGAAGCTTTTGACAAGAAAAGAAAACAAAAGAACATAGTCATCAGCCAATTACAAAAGAGAAAAGGGGAATGATTATAAATATATCTAAGGTAACTATAAATACAATCCCATATAGGTTTTAATAGAATCATATATTTTACAATTAATTAAGATCAACTACCCTTGACTTCGCCTTGAAGAAATAAACAAGAAACCAACAACCCTTAGAAATTCGTGTTGATTGAATATTTCAAGTTTTTAGTATTCAGATTCAGCAACCATTCCATAAATGCACTTTTGTTGGACCTTTAAATCGGAATATATTTTAAGAAAGAAACTACTCCAATGTTTATATCGCTTACATATTATAATGACAATATTTAACTATATTTTTTTATTAAAATATAAAAGAAAACACTTCTAGGCAGAATTTAGCATCTCAAAATATTTTAAAGGTGTTGGTGATGATAAATAAATAACTTTTGATTAGAATCATATTAAAAATATATATTTATATGACATCCATATATAAGAAACTTAATAGTTGTTGAGCCAAAATAAATTTAGTATCTTTGTCCATAAATCATAAGTAATACCCTATAAGGGAGGAGAGAGTCGTTCCCTCCCAACCCACCGAACCTACTGTCACATCAATTTTTCTCTTTTATTTTTCTTCATCTTTCCGAACCCACAACACACGGAAATCCTATCTTTTTGAATCCACTCAACCCATTCAATTAAAAAAATTACAAAACAACTAAGGTACAAGTTTTAAAACACATGGTACAAGAGAAAATAAAAAAGAGAAAGTAGAGAGAGATGATGAAGTGGGTTAGTGAAACCAATCAACCTACTCGTTGAAGCGGGAGTGGTACCGCCGATAACTTTATTGCTAATTAAAATTTTACATTTGATTGTTTTGTTTTTTTTTTTAATTGAGTGAGTTGAGTGGGTTCAAAAAGATAGGATTTCCGTGTGGTGTGGGTTCGGAAAGATGAAGAAAAATAAAAGAGAAAAAATGATGTGGCAGTGGGTTCGGTGGGTTGGGAGGGAACGACTCCCTCCTCCCTAAGGGTATGGGAAGGATGTTTCCCTCACTTTTTGTGGACCACACCACCATTTCTCTCACTTTCCTTTCCCTCACCTAAAACCTAAGGAATGAGTGGGAACCATCCCTCACTATTTTTTTTTTTAAATATATTTCATACATATATTATACTCATTTTGTAGGGAATTAAAAACCATGAATTTTAATATATTTTTTATATTTTTTTACTAGGTATATAATTTTATAAATATATATAAAAAAATGCCCAATAACATGAGGAGAGAGAGTGCGGCACCCCCTCCCCCCACCTCTTTCCCGCAGGTTGCTCCCCTCACCCAAGGGATGGTGTTCCAGTGAGAGGGAAACTTCCCTCTCCCCTTTCCCGCTTCCATTCCGTCCGGCCTAAAATATAAGACAAGGTTTCTACTTTCTGTGTGTAAAAGTAAATGTTATGCTTTCTGTATTAGAAAAACAGTAGAAAACGAATTGATTTTAATTTTGAAGAGTATAATTTGATTTATTTTTTTACCTTTTTAATAAGGGATATTGAGAATAACAAAACATAAATGATTATAAATTTGATAAATACTTTTATGATGAAAGTTCATTATTAAAATCAGATTTTAACACCCTATTTTAATTTTGAAGAGTATAATTTGATTTTTTTTACCTTTTTAACAAGGGATATTGAGAATAACAAAACATATATAATTATAAATTTGATAAATACTTTTATGATGAAAGTTCATTATTAAAATCAGATTTTAACACCCTATAAGCAAAACACAATCAAGATCACATTACAACCGATTTTGACATAAGATATGTAGCGGTATCTTAAGGTCCTAGTTAAGACCTTACGATATTATCCTGATCCAATCTCACATCTTTAGTTTTTATGTTATAATCAAGTCTTTAGTATTCAAAACCCTATAAATTTATGGAAAAAAATCCACTAATCTTAAAATCGACCTAAAAAAGGCATCAATTGAACTCGAAATCGAGCATTACATGTCACATAAAGTCTCATTGAGCATCACAGCTTCATCTGTTCATCTTGAATTAAACATAACATTGTAACATATATGTTAGTCTCTATGTGATTTTATGCATATAGGTGTACGCCATCACAATGATCTTGTTTTTTTATGCTTAAGTTTTTTTCTTCTTAGTTATACGGTTTGCACCAACAATAATTACGATTTCTTCTTGAAAGCTAAAGTTGATTACATTATGGATATATTGATCAACATTCGGCTATAATAGTTACTAGTAAAGAACCCGCGGCTATGCCGCTTTTGGGGTATTATGGGAAAAATCGGCAAATTTTAAAAGATATGTGTTGAAATTGTAATCACCACAAATAGGGGAGTAAGTTGACACCCCTTAAAATTTGTACAACCAAAAAAAGGGACATTGGTGGATAAAATCCAAGAGTGTTGTGACAATAATGTTAAAGTTGTCAAAGTTGAGAAAATATGGTGGCAAAATTCAAAATGAGGTTTTTTGCGTTTTTTATGTCAAAATGTAAAAGTTTTGACTACAAAGACGAAAAGTGTCAAATTCATATTTGTGGCAAAAACACCAAAATGTAAAACTTTTCACTGTAAGGACTAAAAGTGCCAAAGTCACTAAAGATTTGTGGCAAAAACCTAAAGTCATAAAAACTTAATCAAAACATAAAAATGTAAAAGTTTTGATTTTAGGGACAAAAAATATCAAATGCACCAAACATTTGTGGCAAAAACCTAAAATCAAAAAATTTACTGTTACTAAGATCCTTTGGATTTAATATATATATATATATATATATATATATATATATATATATATATATATATATATATATATATATATAATTACATACTACACGAAACAAAATATTACAAACAAATTTAAAAACTATTTCATTTTGATAGAAACTTCTTATCCATATTCAATTTTATAATCAATATTCAATTTTATAATCAAGATCTTATATAACATAAAACCAAAACGAAAATATCTACAACCATGATCTTGCAATAGTGATTCTTACAACCTAAATCATCATAGAGAAGGGGTGTTTATTAAATATCATAAAAATAAGGGCGTCTAACAGAAAATTCAGTAGACTTGTTCCCAAAGTCTAAAATTACAAACTTAGACTCCGTCAAGTTTTACGTAATTACTTAAAAACCCCTCTGATGTATATATCTATAAATAGACTGCCCATTTTTATGCTTCTTGTTTTTCCCTCTTTTCGTCTCCAAACAAAACCATCAACACACACACAGTTCAATCGAATTACTCGACGTTCTTCAAACATACACACAGATCAAGAACTCTTTTTAGGGTTTTTACCTTTTATGATTAAAGTTTTGAACTGAAGTCTGATACTCATCCGACTGTTAGTCTAGTTTACCGGTAAATGCGTCAGAAGAAATCAGGCTTTCAGATCGGAGAAGAAACTTTTTATCAAAAATCCAATTTCAAAATCCAAATCCCAGCTGATATCAATGAACAACAACCCAATTTCAAACAAGAATTATCACCCACAAAACAACATCTGTTCTCAAATCGTCATACACGATCTCAGCTCATGAATACTCAACAGCAAAACCACCACCGGAAAACTCATCAGAAGTCCTTAGTCTGTTGTTCATCTTCAGAAGCTCTTTTAGCCACGAAATCAGTTGTTTTAAAAGTGTTGAAGCTTAGTCATGTGAAGGTCTTTTGGATTAAAGCCCCTTCAAGGGTTTTAATCCTTCTCTGTTTGCCTTCCGTTTACTTCATCTCCTTAAACCATCATGAATCTATGTATCTTTACATACTCTTCTTAATTATTACCCTTTGTATTCTTTTTTTATCTCTTCTTAATCTTCCTTCGATCCGATTATTTATCGCCAGAAATCTCCCAATTTTTAACCTTTCAAACATCGGTAATGCATCAAAAACACCACCAGTTGTTTGGTCAATCGGGTCAAAGAACCAATTTGAATTCAGCACAATCTCCGGGTTCGTGGTGAAGGTTTACAGCAATGGAGATGTTTACGAAGGTGAGTTTTATAAAGGAAAGTGTTCAGGAAGTGGAGTGTATTACTATAACATGAACGGAAGATACGAAGGCGATTGGGTCGATCAAAAGTACGATGGCTATGGCGTTGAAACATGGGCCAAAGGCAGCAGGTATAGAGGCCAGTATAGACAAGGATTGAGACATGGATATGGAGTTTACAGATTTTTCGCCGGAGATATGTACGCCGGAGAATGGATAAAGGGGCAGTGCCACGGCCGTGGGGTTCATACTTGCGACGACGGTAGCAAGTATTTTGGGGAATTCAAAGGAGGCTTGAAACATGGACTTGGTCACTACCATTTCAGGTAAACTTCATCTTCTTCGTTTCTTCTTACTGCGTACAAATTAACAAACGGAAATCTGATTTTAGTTTATGTGGTGGTGTGCAGAAACGGCGATATGTATTCCGGCGAGTATTTCGCAGACATGATGCATGGTTTTGGTGTGTATCATTTCGCAAATGGACATCGATATGAAGGCGCTTGGCATGAAGGAAGAAGACAAGGGTTTGGTATGTATAGTTTCAGAAACGGCGACACCCAATCCGGTCACTGGGACGACGGCGTTCTCACCGTTTCTCCACCGTTAATTTCTCAAGCCAAAGTTGACAAATCAGTCGAGGTAAGATCAAATTCCATAAAGTCCCCTTTTTTTCCCAGATTGAAAACATCAAATCGCTGATTAATTCATCGTTTTTTTTAAAGGAAGCAAGACGTATGGCGGAGAAAGCGATTGGTGGAGATGTGGCGGAGGAGAAGGTGAATAGAGCAGTGGCGGCGGCTAACAGGGCGGCGAATGCAGGAAGGGTGGCGGCGGTTAAGGCCGTGCAGAGGCGATCAGACCACCGGAGTGATATTGATGATCTGTCACTGCTCATTGTCTGAATTTTTGTTGGATTGGAGCGTGTGATGGTGGCCGGAGTTTGACCTTTTCGATTAAAGGGCAAATAGAGATGATTGTAGATGACTGTAATAGTATTAGGATTATTAAAAAAAAAAAAAAAAAAAAAAAAAAAAAAAAAAAAAAAGAAGAAAAGGGCACTAAGTGCTTTTTTGTTAACGAAGGTAAATGTAAATATATTATTTCAAGTTTAGTAATTGTGATGCAACTTGTTTACATCCATCTGCAAAAGCAGATAATTGATCGGATTGTGACTACTGATGGTGGGTCTGAGAGTCCTACAACTACATGTTGGCATGTTCATAACCCCGACACATGTGTTTTGGTGGACATGGATCCAATGGAGATGTATGAATTGTTGGAAATAAAAAGTTAACAATCAAGAACCCAAGAATTTACGAAGATTACTGATTCTCTGAAGCATCCACAACACAATACATGTTCGATGAAAGGCTTGATGAATAGGTGAATGTTAAGTTGCCATAAAATAAATTACAATCAACCATAATGAAATGTCAAGTTGACTAACAATTTAGAATTGAATTCCCAATTCATCAATAAATTTTAGTCGATCGTAGTATGTATTATGGAATGCCAAATTGACGTATAAAGAAATTGAATTTGGTTTTTTTTTTAACGGCAAATATGCATTAATATATGACCAAATAACAAGATACTAAGGGAGGTAAAAACAAGGAAACAGTTTTAATAATACAAAATTAGGAAAAAAAGAGAACAAGGGAAAATAGGAAAAGATTAAAATGGGGAGTAGCACCATTGCGCCAAGCTTTTTCCAATTTTACTCATGTATTTACACCATTTAAAAGAATGAATTATGATAAGACTTGTTGTTCTAGTCGGTGAGACTTTGATCATCTTGAAGAGTTTATCATTACGCACCAATCAGATGTTCCAAAACTTGGAAAAAATCACATTAAAGAGTTTATCAATATATGATCCTAATGTCGTAATGCATTGAACTGTGTGTATTTCAATTAAAAGGATTGAATGACTTGTGTTGTCAATTTGAAATTAAACCCAATCATATTAAAATGTCAAAGATGGCATATAATGAATTTGTAGTTGAATGTTCATTCAATTTTTTTAATACATGATAGGAATTGTAGAAATCGTAGGCATACAATGAATTTGTAGCACTTAATTAAACTTTGTAGAGTATAATTAAAAGTAGAAAAGATAAATAAATTAAATGAAGAAATTGTATTAATTTGCAGAATGCTTATGGTGGACAGAGGCGTTGAGGTGGCGGGTAGACAGACGACGATACCACCATAAAACTGGATCCAACGAGTGCATTGTACCGCAAAATTGATATCTAGCAGGTTGGTTAACCCAAATATCTTCTTTGTCACTCTTTCATATGTTTTCCATTTTTATCATTTTGATCATTGGCTAATAACACGGATATTTTTTCATATTTTGACCAATATAAATAACTGCCTCCACCTTCTAAAACAATTATACCTTAATTTCATTCCATCTTTTTTCAATTCCATTCTTTTTCTTTGTAATTCCATTAGCATTTTCAACGAAGTTAACATTAGGAAATTAGTAATGGAAAATAGTCCTTGTCATTTTGTTTATTATTGTTTTTAGGATTTATTTTATGTTTTGTTGTAGTAGACTAGTAGTTTTATAAAAAAAATGTTATTATTTTTTTAAAAAATTATTGATTTTTCTTTTAAATTAGTATATGTTTATTTTATTTTAAAAAAATTAAAACTGAATGAGTTAAGATAGATAAGAAAAATTGTTGTGGGATGAGACAGTTAATACTCCGTGTGACATTAATGTTAAATAGTTTAGAAGAGTGAATCATTTACACTGGTAGGCCTTATGAGTTCATTTAAACTTAACAAAGTTATAAATTTGGTCCTTTGGTTTATCAAAATTGAGACTTTGATCCAAAAAAATTTGAAGTTGCACCAATGATCCAAAATAAGAATTTTAATGTAGGTTTTGTCCAAAAAAAATTGAAAATATTTCAAATGACTGCCTATTAATTTTGTTTTTTCATTTTCTTTTATTTATAACAATTTAAAAAAAACTAAAAAAATATCACCTAAACCCACATCCTCCCTTCCCCCTCTTTATCTCTCTCTTCACAAACCTCTTCTCCCTCGTTTGAAATACCATCACCACTAGTTTCCGTCGTCACCATCGGAAGATATCACCGCCACTGCCACCACCGAAGAACGCCAACGAGACTAGGACTAAGAACGGATCTGTTAGTCAGAGATTGAAGCTGTTTGTGGTGAGTCGACTGAGGATTCCGACGAGTGTTAGTCAAAGATCAAGTCTTCCAACGGACCTGAACGAGTGAAAAGACTAGAGCATCACCATCCCTTTGCTTCAAACTCCATATGTTGCTAAAATTCCTTCTTCTCCACCCCAATTTCTTGGATCTGCTTCATCACCGCCATCGTTTCTTCATGGCTTCTTTTTCTGAGAACCTCCGTCAACGCTCTCAACAAATCTTCAAGATCGAAGTTATAACCACTTCCATCACGAAATTGGAGTCATAAGCTAGTGAGGTTAACATCGGGAACGACGCTTGAGAAGGAATTGAAGAGAGATCTATGAGTTATTTGAGGGGAAAGAGGAAGACGAATGCTACCAGAGAAGTTATTGTGTCCAAAGTAGATAGATTGAAGAGAATGAATAGATGTAATATTAGAAGGAAGATTCCCAGTGAGAAAACTAGATCGGAGGTTGAGGATTTTGAGTGCGTCTAGTTTTCCGATGGTATTTGTTGGAGTCTTCCGATAGGGATGAGAATTTGGCCCGAAAACCTGAACCGAACCGAACCGAATTAGCAATTTGCGGTTTTCGGGTATCTATATAAGGCTTATTCGGTTTTCGGGTTATTCGGTCCGAGTTACCCGAATAAGGGCTTATTCGGTCCAAAAGGACCGAACCAAATATGAAAAGTCACATTTTTTTCCTAACACGATTGCTTATTCGGTCTTCTTTTCTATCAATCGGTACCCAACAAAACTCACGTAATACACCAAAAAAATCAACGAAATCGAATTCGATCATCTGTATTACATCAAATTGACAGTAGCATATTACACCAAATCGACGAGTCGACGACATTACTCTTTGATCGATTGAGGTTTTTCTCATCCTTGCGACATTATTCTTTGATCGACAGATGCGGCTGCTGCCCTTGCGACTTGCGATAACCTGGACTCATTGATCGATCATCACTAGTTCAAAGTTCAAACTTCAAAGTCCATTCACGTTATGAAGAAAAAAGTCGGCGCTTGCGTCTAGAAAAAATAATCGTCTCCTCATCCTTGTTTTCTAGTTTCTAGTGTGATCAAACTCCATTCAAGTCCTGAAAAATTAGGTTCCAAATCAAGAAACTCAAGTAAGTATTTGTATCTTAATCTACCACTCAATCTTTCAATGTGTTATTATGTATGTTACTCATTGAAATTTGAATGTGTTAATCTACTACTCAATCTTTTAATTTGTTTCTTTAAAAGATTTGTTATGAAATCATAAGCTACAAAAGTCATACAAAATACAATTATTTCTAATCACATTCTAAATGTTATTTAGGTTATTCGGCTCATTAATCATCTTGTACATGTTATTTGGGTTATTCGGGCCGAAACCGAACCGAACCGAATAATACCCGAACCGAACCGAACCTGTATTGCTTATTTGGTTCGGTTTTCGGTTCATACAATTACCCTTATTCGGTTTTCTGTTTATTCGGGTTCGGGTCGGGTCGGTTCGGTTCGGTTCCGACCCGAATAACATCCCTATCTTCCGATGGTATTTGGTGGAGAAAAAAAAAACTTATTTTAGACCACCGGTGCAAGCCCAAAACTTTTTAGACTAAAGTTTGAATTTTTGACAATCCACTAGGATCAAATTTGCAATTTTGTCTTTAAACTTTATAAATTTAGATCAACTAAAGATGCACTTAGGTGTTCCAAATTATTTTACAAAGAATGGATTCTAAGATTAGGGTTTATCAACATGATTTTATTTAACACATAATAAATTTCTTTACTTATAGAAACAAGCTATTTTAATCTTGCAACAAATAATAAAAAACCAACTCAGCTCAATTGCTTCCACTTATCACTAAAAAATGCTGGAACCCAAACATCGTGTCTAACATGATTTCAACTAAAATGAACTCCATCCAACTGAAAACAAAACATGTCGCCTACGCCAGAATCCACAAGCCAAACACTCTAAAGATACAATGCTAAATGCTATAAATAATAATTTTAAAAAAAAACATCTAGAAATGAAATGCAAAATCCACATCCAAAACTAAATGTCTTGCATGATTTATAAAACCAAAACACTTGAAACAAAATACATGTCATGAATAACTCAACAAAACTGTCAGGGTCTAATACAATAAGAGTAAATGAAAGACCTCAACATTGATGAACCTTCTACTTAACTCTCAGTTTGCTCCCTCAGCCTTCGAATTGTGCTCCTAACTGTAACAGCACTTGCAGTACTATTATCATTCATAAACAAAAAACAAAACTATCAGTAAATTAAAAACATTAAAATATAAAACACAGAAACAAAAAAATTAAAATTATTACTTCAATGTGTATGCACCCCCTGCTTTCACTTTCCCACAATCCTTGCAACCCCAGATTCCAACTGCCTTTCTCTTCACTGCATACTGTTTCAACATTTCAAAACAAATACAAATTATTTTCACATAAACAACAAACATTTTGCAAAAAATACAAATTATTATAAAAATCCAAAAGTAGATGATTTACCTTCCCACAAAACTCACAGAAATACTTGCTGTGCTGGCTGACCTCCATTTTCTTGATCTGTTTACGCAGACTAGCACCATAACGAGTACCTGAAAAGCAAAATAAAATAAAAAACAATATTTAAGTAAAACATTTTCATTTTGTTGTAGTTTAAAAACAAAAAGATTTTTATGGATAATTTGTATCATATTAAGAGCTTTGTAGCAAAAACATGATACTTACCATACTTTCCGACAATGCCGGCCTTCTTTGTCCTCTTTGTCTGCAAATTAAATTAAATGATGAATACAATATCAGTATTTAGTTTACAAATTTAAGTTAATTACTGATGTTATAAAGTAATGTATTTAAAAAATTTTAACAATAAAGAACAGATGCTAAGGAGGTTATAACTTTTGGTAAGAACACCTTTCATTACCAATGAAGATTTCAAAGTTTAATACTGCTTTCAGGCCTAGTGATATAAAATGTTGAATCGTTGTGACATTGATGACAGCAATATCTTCGATTTAAGGATTATAAGTTAGTATACTTGGATTGTTATCTACAAACCTAATACTCATCAGTTGACGACTGATCCTAATACCAAAGATGTCTTTTGCGTGGTACGTATGATGTTTAAAGTGGTTGCTTGCTATAGTTTATGGATCCAAATTTGAACAAATTTTATAAGTTTCTGAGAATAGCATTCGAAAAAAAATCCCAACTTTGGACGTGTTATGCATTCCATCCCGATTTGATTAGATAGAATTGCTAAATCAACCACATATGCTAACAATCTCAAGGTAAAACTGCCAATCTTTAGAAAGAATTGCATCATCGGAACAGCGGAAGTGATCCTTAAAGGATAGAAAAAAAATGGAACATCAAATACTTAATTATAATTCATTAATTTGTATAAAAGCGTGTGGATTTTACAGAAGACTGTTTGGGAGTAGATGGAGTACGTGCAAATCTAAGAGAAAAACGCGAAACGCTAATAGCCATATTCTGATTCGATTGATGAACAACAAAAATTACTATGCTATAATGTTCTGAAATAGTGAAATCAAAATAAACGATTTACTTGCTAGATAATGATGTTCAAGATAGACTATACCATTTCTGAAGATCGGAAGAGGAATGTTCGGAACTTGCAGAGAAATAAAGCACGGCGATAACGAACTGAAACCCTAAATTCTTCATTAATCACGATTTATAGTGGACGGAATCAAGCACGTATTGTGAAAACGATTGGGCTTTTCTCGTTTACGATAAATGATATTGGGCCTAACCCAATAAGTGTGATTCTATTTAGTGTTATCTAATTATTATATTATAATTTTTTTATTTATTTTTTTTTTTTAAATATACGTATTGAACAAGGTTAAGTTATGTATATGTTTGAAAATAATTATACTATTAATATTAAGAAATTAAGTAATCTGATTATTTTTTACGGTTATATTAACTATAAAATAATTATATTATTGATATTAACTATAGAAATAATAATAATAAAGTAAATAATCTAACTATTTTTTATGGTTTTTTTAAAAATGGTAAATTACATCAATCGTCCCTCGTGCATATGCCAAAAAGCACGTTCAGTCCCTATTTTCAAAAATTAACTCAGACCGTCCCTCAGTATGTTTTTTCTTGCACGCTTAGTCCCTCAACATATAAAAAGACCATTTTACCCTTATTTATTTATTTTTTGATTTATTTTATATTTCTTTGTTATTTATTATTTTTATTGATTTTTTTATTATAAAAATAATTGTTTACTGCCTTTAAGAAAAGAAATGGACCCTAAAACTAATCACCTTCATAACCTGTCTCTTCCCTCATTCTTCTTCATTCTGTCTCATCTCCACCATCACCACCAACACCAATCACCGACATCACCGTCAACACCGATCGTCATCCCTTAAAGGAAAAGAAACCATAAAAAAAGAGAAATTCAATTGTTTGAAACCAAAAATCCTGCAACTTAACAAATCTACAACTTGAAACCAGAAACGATGAAGATGCGAGGGTTAATCTGCAACTTGCTACTAGGTTTTACATGTTTAGGTCACAAGGGTCAGAGAGGGACGACTTATATACCGATGTTTTGTTTTCCTCTGTGCATTTTATTTCCAGTCGATTTGGGACCCATATCACTGGAGAAGAAAGGCAAGATGATCTAAAGTGGGGACATAGAAAGCTTATCGGAGAATAAGAAAAGGGGGAGGACAACCACACATGAGCGGCAAACCACCGCCACTGGAACAAACCAAACCTTGTTCTCATCCATGGCTACAGAGGTAACTCAAGTGGCAATTCATAGTGCAGGTATCTCTGCTGACATAAAATTTCACCATACCAGAGGTGTTTCAGGTGAAGTGCGTGTGTGATAGCATGAATAAATTAGGGTTTAATAGATTTTTGGTGTATATAATTAGTTACAGAGGTTTGTGGTGTACTAGATGGCGGATATGGAGGAGAAGATGGTGGAGAAAGTGGTGCTTGTTAGCAGTGGAATTGGGTATACGGAAGAGCAGAAATCTGAGTATCTGGAGAAGATTGGGCGGAATGTGGCAGAGATTTTGGTAGCGGAAAAATCAAGAGAGGGAGGAGGAAGAAGGTCGATGACGGATGTGTTAAATCAACAGTCGCCGGTGGTGATGTTATTTTTGACATCAATAGAGCAAGGAAAGTGAGGTGGTGGTACGTGGTGGCGATCAAGCGGGTTTCCGGCGGTCGTTGTATCCCCGGTGGCCGGATTTTAGTTTCAAATGAAAGTAAGGGACGATGAAGAAAGGGATTGAAGACTTAGGGTATTTGTTGGTAAATGGGGTGGTGGTGATAGGTTTAAATGTTTAGAAATTATTAATAAATGTAAAAATAAAGGATTAAAATTTATTTTTTGTTTTTCTTATTAATACAAAATAAACCAATAAGGGCAATATAAGTCATTTTATGTGAGGAAAAGGATGAATTGTGCAGATTTAAACTAACGAGGGATCAATCGTGCAAGTTTAAACCAAACGAGGGACGGTCCGAGTTAATTTTTAAAAATAGGGATTGAACATGCTTTTCGGCATATGCACGAGGGATGATTGGTGTAATTTACCCTTTTAAAAAACAACTAGTTTAAAATTATTTTTGAAAAATAGTCATTCGGTCTAGAATGCTCATTCTTGACTCATATTCTAAAGCAGATAAACGGTTAAAATTGTCTGACCAGATAAAGTGGCCTTTTATATATTACTGTCTCGGATCTTTCTTACGAACTCATTGTTTCGGACCTCATTTCAAACTCACTATTTCATACCTTATTTCGGACTAAATCAACATCAAAGAATATATTCTTGTAGCAGTGAAAAAAATACATTTTTATGTGGGTGTGTTTCGATTCTTTGTATGATTATATGATTTTATTTGTGAATATATGTTAAAAATAAGGAATTTTTGTTTTTTGTATAAATTATGCAATTACAAATATAAGTCATTTTCCTTCAAAATTTACTTGTTTTAAAGCTTTTATATAATTATATGTGGGTATATGTAAGTACTAGAACAACTAAAATTATAACATAAAAAATAAATAAATAAAATATACTTTCAAACCTATTTGGAACAAGTATGGAATACGTTGAATTGATCCAGTGTAATGTCCGTAAGATAGGACTAGATGATTAAAGAATAATAGAATAATTATTCATCACGACGATAAACAAATGTTTTTTTATAGACGACCAAGCGAAAGTTGTAGGAATCGTAAAAGTGAGAACGTGCATATAGAAAACTTCTAAATCCGACTTCATATAAGAAAGTTATGATTTTTAGAGGTTTCAGCGCAACAGTACACGATATAGAACCCAAAATTAAGAACGGTCGATTGTTAGTCAGAACAATCTAAACGAGAATTGAAGATCTCGTTAATATCTATCTGTCGATATAAAGACAGTCGATAACGGATATCGTTTGAGAGAGTTATGATTTTTATACGGACTTTATCAGTCTAATCCTATAAAAATATAACTTTAAAAATAAAGTTAAAACTATCCGATGGAGTCTAAATGAAGGTTGTAAATCTTGTCGATAGTTATGTGTGGATATAAAAAAATGTCGAAAACGAAGCTCGTATAAAGAAGTTATAGAATTTATAAAAAAATTGTTTTGTGCGGTGTACGCTTCTAGAAGGTGGCAACGCGGACCACTGAGAAGCTGACACATGGCACAAAACGGTTGGGGAGACATAGCCTTAAGCGCGCGGCGCACACCTTGAAAGGCGCAGCGCGCATGATCGAAATCCAGTTATAAATAGCAGTTGCAGCCCCATTCCATTCCTTACACCTTTCCAATTTTATCTGCGATTCTTTGAGATTTTAGCTCGATTTTCCCCTAGGTTTTAGAAGTTTTTAGCGAAGCTGTAACGTCGCGAATAATTAATGATCTCACTTTTTGAATAATTAATGAAAATTTAAGATATATATATATATATATATATATATATATATAGTAATAATCACATTTGTGGTAGATAATAAATCATTAAGTATAATATACATATTAATCACCGAGTTTGCCGAGTTTTACAACATTGTTCGCTTCAGTAAGGGTCGATCGGGAAGTACTCGGATTCTATAACTCGCCTCGGTAAGGGGCCGAGTACTAATCGGTCAACTCGCGAGTTTTACAACACTGGTTGCATTTGTTGGTAGATAAATATAGAAGGTCGGTACCACTGACTAACTCGAATATCTATCGTCAAATGAAAACGTATTATATGTGACAAAATCCATACGTAGGAAACGTACATTTAAATAAACACACAACGTAAAGAAACTGGAATTTATGTCTGCACATACATAAAAATAAGTAAGTAAGTTCTTTTTAAGTTAACGTACAAAATTTAAAATAATAAAAAAAAACGTATTAGATTTGATCCGACTCATACGTAGGAAGTATACATAAAAATAAGCACGAGAACATTAAAAAAATTACGTCAATACGTAGACCAACTCAAATTTATACCAACACATACATAAAAATAAGAAGTAAGTTTTTCTTTTTAATTTAACGAAATAAAGTTCTAAATTTACGTCAAAATTCACCTCGAATTTACACAAAGTAATTACGTAAAAATTAGTTTTTTTAAGATAACGAACAAAAGTTGTTAAGGAAAATAAATTATATATATTATTGGAATAAACATAAAAATTCTAAATGGAAATGGTGAAAATGATATTTTACAAAGTTTAAAGTCGAGGAGGTCAAAATAACATTCTAAAAAGCAGAGAGGTGGAAATTGGCAAAGTATTTTAAAAAATAAAGGGTCAAAGTGATTTTTTTTTAAAAATATAGAGGTGGAAAGTGTCATTAATTAAAGTAATTTTAAAAAGCAGAAGGTGAAAAATGACATTCTTGAAAGTATATGGGTTGCAACTATCGTTTGAAACATCCACCGACATTGTAAATTAATATAGATATAATTAAACTTGATATTATTAAATGGTCAATAATAATATGCATCGCTACATTTTCAATCATATTGTCAATGTAAAATTGTCAAACTGTATTACTCACTTCTCATTTAGAATTAATTAGGGTGATATTACCACCGTGGGAGGTGGCATAATCTATAAATTTTGTATGAGACCAGTTTTGTAATTTTTTTAAACATATAAACTGTTTTTGCGAAAAAAAATATACATAGGGGCATTTTTTGTAAATGTAGGGACTATTTTCGTATTTTATTTTCTATGAAAGGACCAAAATCACTTTTTTAGAATTGTTATTAGGAAGGGGTATTTATGTAATTTTTTAAACATATGCATTATTTCTGTAAATATTATTTTGTAGGGACCTATTCTGTAACTTTCAGTGACCGTTATTTTTTTATATAAGGACCAAACATGTTAATATACCAAATGTTAAATGGTGGAAAATGTCGGTGTTCAAATTTGAGGGGGTAAAACTAACATTTTACAATGTATGCCGGTGGAAAGTGGCATTCGACAATGTAACGGGGTGGGAAGTGCGAACAAAAATTTAGGGACCGAATTTGACAACATAAAAAAGTTTTGTGGCCGAGATAATAAAGTTTTGTTGCCAAAGTTTAAGGTCATTTGTGGACATCGTCTAAAATCACAAACTTTTGCGGCCAAAATAAAAAATATAAAACTATAATTTTTGGCTAAAGTCTAAAATA